ATTTTTTTAAAAAAATGGGGGAAACGGATATATGTTACTGTAGCAGATTTGTGAGGTTTATTAAAAAAAAAAGAAGCAAAGGCAACTTATTCTGCTTTGAGGTTTTGAGTATGTATCTAATTTTCCCCTTTTGTGAACTGAATATTAGACACTACTACTTTTTTTTCTTTTACTTCTGTAAAATATAGCCATATATATATCCATATATCGTGATTACTCCCCAAAGAAGAATGTTACTTGTTGGGTTAAATTCTGTTTCACTGAAAGTAGTGGATATGAGCTTATTCATTAGGCAACATCCCTCCATAGGTTTATATATTTTATTCTATTAATTGAATCATCAGCTTAGCCTTACAGTAAAGTAAAGCATGAAAATGTATCTCCTGCCAAAATAATATTCTAGTGATTAAAAGCAAGCACAATTTATGTGGCTCATATAGAAGCTACTATTCAACAGATTTTGGCGGAGCACCCAATTTGATCCATGTCTGTCTATCCTTTCCCACCCTATTCTACATTCATTACTTCTGCTAATACATTCATACTGTAATAGAGGTGAAAGGGAAGTTTAATTATATAATCTTGACAATGGCAATAGGATTAAGAAGTAATCCTTGCTAATAAAGTACTTGCAGGTTGGAAATGAAGTTGAAATTGTCAGGGGTTTTCAACAGGACCCGAGGTGCCCTGGCGCTTGCAGCTGTCTCCTTGGCCTGTAATTGAATGTCTGAAAGTGATTGAAAAAATGTTATTTCTTCCCAGGATTACATGCTAATGTACAGAGGGCAAAGGGAGACAGCAAAAGAACACATAGCTGCTTATTTCATCCATTTGTGGGAATGAGCTTTGGGAAATCACGACAGTCGTGCAGCTCTCAGATGCCCATCTGCAAACACAATGTATTTGTACGCTGGGAATAGAGGGCAAAGCTGCTCCGATCAGAACAGAGCATCTCTTCCATTGTCCTATTGGCACACATTGAGATTGATGCAAGATTAAAGACTATCACAACCTCTAACAATTGACAGAAATGACAATTCAGCTAGATTTTTTTTTGGCAGTTATTCACCCATTGATTACCTACATGTGCACACCTCATTTATACCCACTTTATTAATGCAAAAGATTACGCGTCACACATACATTTTACAATTTTTTTAAAACAAAGGGCAGGATGATAAACATTCTCTTTGTTGCTCTCAGAATTCCCTGTTTATAAACCACTAAGATGACAAATATAATCCACTTTCCTTCTCTGGATCCTGCTTTATATTAACACCCTGCATATTGTTAGAACTGTGTCCAGCCTATTGTTTTGAGTAGTACACTGATGTGCTTCTGTGATAAGCCTTGTGGAGATGTGATTATTCCAATAAAAATGCATTCAAATGGAAACCAGTGCTCCAGCTGTTTATTCCCACAGTCCCTGAGCTGCACTAGCCATGTATGGATAGCTGGAAACATATTTAACTGATAGTTGAAGCACAGTATCCTTTTCAGTTTCTATCACTGTATATTTAATATTTGAATGTATGTCTTGGTTGTGCATATAAATAAAACCTAGCAGGGAATCATAGATTTTTAAAATAGGTCCTTCCTTCCTTCCTTCCTTCCTTCCTTCCTTCCTTCCTTCCTTCCTACCTACCTACCTACTTACCTACCTACCTACCTACCTACCTACCTATCTTCCTACCTACCTACCTACCTACCTACCTAACCTGAGGCATTTGGTTCTGAAGCATTTCAAAGTTTTCAGGNAAAAAAAAAAAAATCCAAGGTTGCCTTGGGTGACTCGGTTGGTATGATATTCTCAGAAACCGGGACCGTGTCTTAAAATATCTTGGCCCTGAGCGCGCCTCTCCCGAAGGAGGAGAAAGCGGAGCTGTCATTCTTTCTTGCGCTTGGGGACAGGCGGCCTCTGCTGCCGCCTGTAAAGGACAGATGTCGCCAACGCGGCGCCAGGGTCAGCCTGCTCTTTCCCCAATAAAGGTGCGTTTCACACAGGCTTCGTGGCTTGAAAGGCACTGAGGGACTTGGATCCCGAGCTGCTTTAAGTTCTGAGACAAGTTTAAATTTCTATTCCCCCCCACCCCCAGTAGTAGCTCTGGAAGGAGAAATCCCGGCGTCTTTAGGAGGAAAATCAGGCCCCAAAACTTTGAAATAGTGCCGCCTTCGCTTTCCGCCTTCTCCCTGGCCCAGGAACTTCTCAAAAGAACCGCCTCCACTTACAGCTGAACGCGTCTCCACCCGCGAGCGCGCTCAGACGGCCGATTCCAATTTCGGACTTTCCGCTTTCCACGCGCTGTTTTTTCTTTACGGTCCTTTGGCTGATTATTAGGCACGCCTGTATAGGATTGCAGCCTCTCGGCGCGCTCTAAAGCCAGGTCCCTGGGAGCCCAGTAGGCACTGAGTCCCAACACGTAATAATGGGCTTTCCCGACCTCATCCTTTTATCTTTTGGTCCCGCGGAGGAAGGATCAGGCCGGTGTTTCGGGTGGAGTCCCTGGACCTGCACCGTGCCTGTTGGCTGAGATCTGGGAGGGGAAGGAACTGGATTGGGGTGAATTGGACAGAAGCCACTAATGCCATTTCTGGCTAGCTGATGTCCCCAGGAAAGGGAGGGGACGCAGCTGTGAAGCCAGCCCCCCTCCCCAGCCCTAAAGCAATCTCTGTGGGGACTGTGAGCAAGAATGTCCCTTCAACCAGCATATTCACCTACCACAGTCCTCACAAGGAGAATGTTTCAGAAAAGGTGTGCAGTTTCTATATTATAAAAGGAAGTGTGATGATTGTGAAGAACAGGGAGGTTCAAAGTCCATTTGGTTAACACTAAGCCTTCCCATGGTCAGTTTAAATCGCAGCCTATTGCCCTGCCTGACTCATCAAAATCAAAATTTCTTCAAGTTCATAGAGGCATTTGGTTGTCGCATTGGTCTAAGTTCATTGAAATTCATAGAACCTGAAGTTTTGCTGATATCTGTGGTCCTGGCTCAGTATGAATCTCCTCCACTCACTTCCCTTAGACATGTTTGGCTGGTTTGTCTATCTTCCAACTTCCCTCTTGAGAATGGCAGTGGTGTGTAAAATCTCCTTCCTCTGCATGGTCTTTGGTAAAGTTTTCTACTAAGCTTTGATAAGGTTCTCTACTATTGCCAGGTATATATTACAGCTATCTTGTGGCTCCAAATACAAGCCAACTACTTTCCTGCAACCTTAACTTTAAAAGAAAATCTGCTTACAGGTGTTTCAATGAGTGAATGGGCTGGAAATGAAGCAGGTTGTTTGCTCTGAATTTCATGTAACTTGGTTTAGAGCTAGTTCTGTGTTGCACTGAATTGCATCATTGCTCTCTAACTGTTCCTTCCCCAGTATTAAAGCAGTCGACCAGGCCATTTCACCCTTTTCCAGGTAACTTCCTTTCTCCATCCTAAGTCTTCAGGGTGTTTATTATATATATAGCAAGGCTATTTCTCTTCCCACCTCCTCATTGTAACTGTTGATAGCTGACAGCTTTGTTTCTCTTTCATTTCAGCTCCAGATGAAGATGTACTTGTTAAAGGAAAGCAGTCTATCAAGAATCAGGCTTTAGGAAATCAGAATTCAGAAAGCGAGATTCTTTTGGAAGCCGATGATGATAATTTGTCATCCATAGAGGAGAAAGAACTTGAGAATTTAACTGGTAATTTCTGCTATATAATATTCTAGAATCTCTGTACTGGTTTAGTTGCACCTTAATAACACAATTTCTGTAGTGTCTGACGTATAGGACGCATGTGCATGCACGCACATACACACAGAGGTACTAAAGGCTTCTTTCTGCCTGATGAAGTTATTTTCTATTGATAGGAAATAACTTTTCAAATTACTGCTTTAGATTCTGTTTGTTGAGGACTTTTGATACAATATTTCAGATATGCACATTTGCTTTTGTGTACCTTAATATTTTTTGGAGGGGGTAGCTTTCTCTAGGCATTTTTCTAAAATGTAAATCCCAGTGTTCCAATATATTATACCAGGCTTGACAATTAATCCGAAATCTTTTTTTTTAATACTTGTAAGTCATTTGGTAACTTGGCTTCCTTTTTTCAGCATTTATGCCAGCCATGCTATTTTTTATTTTTTATTTTTTATAAAAAATGGGGGAAACGGATATATGTTACTGTAGCAGATTTGTGAGGTTTATTTAAAAAAAAAGAAGCAAAGGCAACTTATTCTGCTTTGAGCTTTTGAGTATGTATCTAATTT